AGAAGTCAGCCATCACTTGTATCATTGTTCCTCTGTGTGCATTTCTTTCACTGCTTTCAGGATTTTCTCTGAAAATCATTTCTCGCTGGATGCTCTCAGAATTTTCTAATTATCTTTGGTTTTCTGCAGTTGACTATGATGCAAAGTTTTCTTTATATTCACTGGGTGAGGTTATCTGGGCTTCTTAAATCTGTAAACTTCTTTCACAAAAATTTGGAATATGTTCAGCCATTATTTTTTCAAATATTTTCCTATATCCTCTCCTTTCTTTCTCTCCTCACCAATTACATCTACATTAGACCATCTGGTATTGTCCTACCACTCTCTCAGACTCTGCTTTTTTTATCTTTCATTTATTTTCTCTGTTCTTCAGATTGAACCATCTCTATTGATCTGTCTTGAAGTTCACTGGTGCTTTCTTCTACCATTTCCAATCTGTTAAGATACTGCAGTGAATTTTATTTTACTTCTAGAATACCTTGTTTTTTTATATTTTTTCTCCAGTAAGACCTGTTATCTGTTCATTCAATATGAACACATATTTCTTTATATCCTTTAACAGGACAATAAAAGTTCTTTTAAAACCCTTTTTCTGGGGTGCCTGGGTGGCTCAGTCAGTTAAGCGGCTGCCTTCAGCTCAGGTCATGACCCCAGGATCCTGAGATCAAACCCCACATTGGGCTCCCTGCTCGGCGGGAAGCCTGCTTCTCCCTCTCCCACTCCCCCTGCTTGTGTTCCCTCTCTTGCTGTGTCTTTCTCTGTCAAATAAATAAAATATTTTTAAAAACCAACCTTTTTCTAACTTCAACATCTACATCACCAATATTTCCATTGATTACTTTTTCTCTTCACCAAGGATCATATTTGTTTCTTAACAGATATCTAGTAAATTGGTTTGTATCCTGGACATGATGAATGATATATTAAAAAGACTCTGGAATTGTTCATATTCCTTTTAAGCCGATTGCTTTTTGCTTTGTTTTAGCAGGCAGTTTGGCCGAACTTAAACTCTGTCTCTCTGTAATGGTCAACAGCTGAAATATATTCAGTTCTTTTAGCCTTACTAGGCTACTTTGACCTTGCTGCAACCATGTGTAGTTCAACTGTCAACCAGAGATTTGGGAAGAATTTATGTGCAGAATTTGGTGCTCCTTCTCTGTAGCTCTCTCCATCCTAAAATTTCTCCCCTTTTTCCAGCTGCTTACATAGCTCTAAACACTATCCTTTGGTTCTTCAAGGCAGTATAAACTTCTGGTTTTTGTCCAAATCCAAAATTCCAAACATTGGATGGGGCCTGCCATCAGGCCAAAATCCAGGCAAATAAAAGTGTCATTCCCTCTTCCAGATACTGAATCCTGTCCCGTTTCTGCCTACTTTTAGATATTGATCTAGTATCTTCAGAGAGTGAGTTTTTTAAACTTTGTCCAGAATTTATAGTATTTATCTTCAAGATTGTTCCAATACAGGCTACTCAGACATATCATCTTATTTGTGTGCCTGAGTTTCTCACTAGATTTCAAAAATCTTACAGAGACTTTTTATGCCTAGATCCCCAGTGCCTCCTTCATTTCCTTTTAATTTTCAAAATGTTCCTCATATTTACCTGTTCTTTTCTGAGGGCATTATCTGTTGTATTTTTAGCTCTTGCCATCTTTGTAGTTTAGTCTTCATTTTGGAAATGATTTTTTTCTTTTGTTTCTAATTCTGCCCAATCTATTATCACTTTATTTCCAAATTCATATATTTCAGATTTATGTAGTTCATGAAAGAACTTTCTTAATGTATCTTTTTGTATCACTTTCTTAACGTATCTTTTTGAAAAAGCAGGCTTCAGTTTTGATCTGTATTAGGGGCATGCATTTCTGACATGCTTTCACTATCTATAGATAAATTATTCTTCTCCTTATTCTCTTTTTTTCTTAACACAATGAAGAAGTTTGGCCCTGATCCTCTTCTGTTGCATATCTTACATTAAATTCATTTTCCTAATCTGTAGAACATTCTGGATGGCTTTTCTGCTTCAGACCTCCTCCTTCTACTATTTTCATATATTGTTAAAAAATATAGTACTGTAGTACAGCCACAGAAGTTCCTCAAAAAGTTAAAAATAGAAATACCATATGATCCAATAATTTCACTATTGGGAATTTACCCAAAGAAAATGAGAACACTAATTTATTTAATTTATGCACCCCTATGTTTACTACAATACTATTTACAACACCCAGAATAATGGAAGCAATCTAAGAGTCCATTAGATGAATGGATAAGGAAGATGTGGTACACACACACACACACACACGAGTATTACACAGCCATAAAAAGGATGGGACCTTGCCATTTGCAACGACATGGATGGACCTAGAGAGTACTATGCTAAGTGAAATAAGTCAGACTGAGAAAGACAAGTAACACATGACTTCACTCATATGTGGAATATTTTAAAAAATGAATAAACAAACAAAAAGCAGAATCATACCTGTAAATACAGAGAACAAACTGATGGCTGCCAGAAGGCAGGGGATGGGGAGGATGAGCAATTGGTGAAAGGGAGTGGGAGATACAGGCTTCCAGTTATGGAAGGAATAAGTCACAGGAATAAAGGCACAGCATAAGGAATACAGTCAGTGATATTGTAATAATGCTGTATGGTAACAGATGGTAGCTACACTGGTGGTGAGAATAGCATCATATTTAAACGTTGAGCTGCCATGAAGTACACCTGCAACTAATGTAACATGGTCAACTACACTCAAATTTAAAATTGTATATATACATATATAGTAGCTTGTTTTTGAAATATTCTGACTCTCGTCTCTTAATCCTACTTACATCTGAACCCTTCTTTTTCTAAGGTCCCTATCCTGCTTAATTTTTCTCTCTTGTCTGGTCCTACCTGGAAGGGACCTCTGGCCTGTCCATTTCAAGAATTCACAGAGGTTATAAGGCTCCAGTCTGATTCAAGCCTTACCGTGAGATACTCTCTGCTATTAGACTGATATTATCCAGTTTCAGTTGCTATTTTCAAAATGGCTTGCTCTACTGTCTAGTGAATTATCTGATGGTTACTTTGTAACTTTTTTGTTCCCAGATCCATCAGAAATTGGCTCCCCTGCTTCCCTGTTTACTCCTGACACAGACACTGGCAACATGAAGATCTTGTGGCCGCTGGCAATTACTCCCCACACAATTGTTCTTAGAAAATATATTACCCAATTTTGTTGTAGATATTGTCAGTGGATTTTCAGTTTTGCTATTTAGTTTTTCTGTCTTTATGTGGAGCCTCAGGAAAAACCAAAACCTATGCTGCCACTGCACTATCTTCCCTTCAATTAGCAACTGAACAAGCCATTTTGAACAAATGACAAACTACTGAGCAGGTAGTTCAAGAGGGCAAATCCCACAGGTATAGCTTTTACATCACACTGGATAAATAAAGGGTTAAGCAAGTGTCTCTCCAAGTTAGAACAAAAGTTAAAATAAATCTATACTTCCTATATACTTCTAATCATGAAGCTGAATTTCTGCCTGTTTACTAAGAAAAGCAAAGAGCTTTGCTATAACATTAAAAGGTCTGTTTTAACTTCTCCAGGATTGCTGACTTGTAACCTTAACACCTTGAACTTTTATTACAAGCTACATTTGACTGTGGTATAAAACTATTCACTCTGAGTTGTGAATCTGGCATAGGAGACTGATTTTACCCATAAATTTTATGGTAATTAAGTCATTCTTTAACAGACTTTATTCTGGAATTTCATTATTAGGTAAGTTAATTTGCTGGTTCATCAAAAAAAAATCAAGACCCCTTGTTTTAAGTCTATTTGAAATAAACTGTGTGGCACTAAAAGATTCATATTTTAAAAACAATGGGAACTTAAGTTTTCTCCATCACTATCCAGGGGATGATGCCTATCTTTTCAATCTTTCTTTCTTCTAAGAGTTAATATTTACTGAATAATTTACTATGTGGCAGGCACTGTTCTAAATATTTCATTTTTAAGTCATTAAAACTTCGCAAAACTCTCTTAAGTAATATTATCCTGACTTTACATATCATTTATAAACCAGCACATACAGGTTAATGTATTAACCATTATGCTGTAGTAGCTCACAAAATCTGTTTATATCTGCAAATATATGACAGTTTTCATGGCACAGAAGTTAAGATTTAGGATTCTGAAGCCAGGCTGCCTGGGGTTCAAATCCTGACTCCACCCGTTACTATCTGACCCTTAGGCAAGTTACTTCTCTGTGCCTCAGTCTATCATGAAAATCAAATGAATTACAATATGAAAGGCATTCAGAATAGAGCCTAGCACAGAGCTAACATGTATACAGATCTTACCATTTTTTTAAATTGGATATAAGGCAGTGTCTAAATTACCATTCTGCAACGTGATTTTTTCACTAAACAGATGATGATTCCATGTTGCAGAATAAACCTAGTTCATTTTATCTACTGTTTCATCAGATAAATGTCAATCTCTATTTATCCATTCTCCTATTGACAGTCTGGTTCCAGTTTTTCATTCTGCTGCCAGGTTCATGTCTTATGCAGATCTCCACGTGCACACACGTAAGAGTGTCTCTAAAGTATATATGTAGAAGTGGAAATGCTGGATCATTGGCGGTGCTTGTCTTCAACTTTACTTGCTACTGTCAAAGTTCCAAAGGGATTTTGTCCCACGACCAGTGGATGACATATTCTGTTTTTCCACATCCCCACTGACACTTGGCATTGTCAGACTTTAAAAATAAATTAACTTTTATTCTAATAATACTATTAAATGGTAAAGATATCCTATATACAATGAAGTACTTATAAAGGATCATATTCTTAACTCTTTTAGTAAAGAAAATGATAGCAAAATGCAAAACAAAATGTTGAAGTTCTAGAGCACAGGTGGGGGATCCAAGGAATAGACACAAAATTTCTATCCACCACAAGAAACATAAGACATAAAAAAACCATGGTTGATGAAAAAGAAAATACTCACCTCAAACTCTCTGAGCAGTTTAGAAATAAGCAAGCCCTCTGGAAACTTGGATACAACCTAATAGAAAATAAAATACAATATAAATAGACACTATTAGGATGCTGGCTAACAAAATATCAAAATAAAACATAAACTTAAATAGTAAAAAAAAATACCATTACTGAATGAATTAAAAGTCACAATATTTTTTAGATCAGTTTCCAGTTTTAAAAAAGGATGTAACCAAAAAAAAAAAAAAAAGGCTTCCAACATTTCCAGAGTCAAGAAATCATTCTTGCACAATACTACAGTGCCACAGGTCTCCAGAAATTCCTATTAGCTCATATATTTAGCTTTAGCTCACATAAAATAAAAATCCTACAGCATAATTTCAAGCATTTTATTTTAAAGATTTTATTTTTATGTAACTCAATACCCAGTGTCGGGCTCATACTCACAATCCCGAGATCAAGAGACACATGCTCTACCAAGCCAGCCAGGCATCCCTCAAGCATTTTAAATGGTAGAAAAGAAATAAAATGGATACTATAGAAAACTTTGAAAAATACACTTAAGCAAAGAAAAAATTATCATAGTCATTGTTGCCCATATGCACATAAAAATACCTGTATTTAATATAAAAATAAGGTAATTTCTATAACAAGTTTTTTTATTATCATACCATAAACAATTTTCCATGTCAGTAAATATGGATCAACATATATACTGGCTATAGAGTTATCAAATTATTCCATATAAATTTATTTACTTGATCCTCTATTTATGGCTGTGTCCTGTGCTTTATGGTCACAAATATTATAATTATTTTCATATTTGCATCTTGCACACTTGTCCAATTATCTTTTAGGAAAAATTCCTAAAAGCAGACTTACTCTATTCCCAATAAAGTGTAAAAAGATTTGTGTTATCCCAGATTTTTCCAAATATTACATGTTTCATTAAAAAGGCTAAATCAAGCTTCAGAAAAATATAAAAATGATTCCAAAATCCTGTGACCAGAGATAATTGTTGCTGCTTTTCATAAATCATCCTTTCAGAAACCTCTTATGTAGAAACACACATTATACATGATTTTACATGAAAAGACAATACTAAACTTACTATTCTATAACACCTGTTTTTAAAGTCAAACAATATGTCAAGGAGATACTTCCATGAAAATTAATTGAGATATACGTAAACTTTCTTATGAGCCTCACGATACTGTCTAGTTTCGGTAGTTAATTTAACCAATCCTTTACCAATGAATGTTTAATTTTCCTTTAATTTTTTGTTACCATAAGAAATCATATTGAACATTCTTAAATAAATAATTGTTGGATACATAGTCAATGTCCAAACAAAAAAACAGGGTTTGAATGTACCATGGTTTTTGCATTTCTCCCAGTAAAACCACGACATCCAAAATGGAATAATTTAAAGCAGTAAGAGTAGTAACAGCACTCTGATCATTCAAATAAGAATAGCTCCCACCAAACTTTTAAGTGTACATACTCTTTAGCCCGATACATTAACGGCCAAAGAGCTTTCACAAATTAACAAGGAAAAACAACAAATTAGGCCAAAGACATGAACAGGTAATTCACATAAGAAATATAAATGGCTATCAGTTTATCTTCTAGATCACTAATTCATTCTTCTGCCTCATTTACCCTGGTTGTTAGAGTATCCAGTTTAGACTGCATCTCACTCATAACATTTTTAAGTTCAGCCTGATTGACTCTCATTTCTGCCCTTAGAGATTCTATATCGCCACTAATGGTTTTCTCAAGCCTAGCTATTGACTTCATAACTGCTACCCTGAAAAGTCTATCTCTGACATCCTGCTTATATCCATATCGATTAGATCTGCAGGAGAAATCATTGTCTCTGGTTCTTTTCTTTGTTAGGAGTTCCTCTTCCTAGTCATTCTGTTGAGGGGTGGTTGAGGGAATGTACAGAGCCCTAAATATCAACCACAATCCAGGCAAGATGCAGCCTGGGAAAATCTGGAGCAGTCGGAAGCCACCACCGAAAAAGCAAAGCCAAAATGAAACCCAAGAATAAAATTTATGAAATTAAAAATTTTTTAAAAACATTAAAAATTAAAAAAAATTTTTATGGGGGGGTGAGGGGAGGAGGGGCTATAATCTCTCAATGTGGGCAAGGTAGGGTGTTTCAGTACTTCCTGGGTGTATTTTGTTCTCTTTGTTAGAGGACACTACTTCACAGAGTTACAGGGAAAATAAAACTGGTACATATATAAAGGTAGCACTGAATAGGGAAAAAAGGACTACATTGAAATTTTATCTATTAAAAAAATATTTATATATATAAAATTAATAAATTTACATATATTATATATATATATTTATATTTATATATAGGCCCCTATATATATATATATATGTACATAGACCCCGGAAAACAAATTGAGAATCTCAGAAGGGAGGGGGTAACCGGGTGATGGGTATTTTCTAAATAATTTTGAGAACATTAAAAATTATTAGGAGTAATTTTTTTTCCTGATCTTAAAAGAATAGCCACTCCATTTGCAATATATTTGAAAAGATCAGGTATAATTATAAAATAAATACTCATAAGCAAAGTAAACTTAACCACAAATGAGATCTAAATGTATAATTAATTATTCATATTCATTTCCCAGAAACAGAAAATACTTACAAATCTTATCTTATGTTTTAGTTCTGGATTGATAGTCCCTCCAGGTCCAATTTGTGCAATAACTGATTTGAACGTGTTCTCCAACTACGGAAAAAAAAAAAGTTCAAGTTATAATCCAAAAAGAAAAAGATCAAAGGTAAATCTGAACAATATGTAAAAGGAAACCTCTCTCACAGGAAATGTCTTTCAATCAAATGGGTAAATTCTTAAGAGGCACTATAACATTTCATACCATATAAAATATATTTAGAGTAGATGGAATCTATAAAACACTCAGCAATTTTCCAGGATAATTAACATTCTCTGAAACAATTAGATTCTAGAGTATTCCATTTTTCAAACTCCTACTCAATCTCCTACTCTTACCCAGAAAGGATTTTTGTTACTAATTTTCTTCTGTTTATAAAAATTCAATGTTTATTAAACACATGCTTAGTGAATGCCAAATGCAAGGAAGGGACTGAATGGTGGAAGGTCCTAGGAGGCAGGAAGGAATGTGAGCCAGGGTAGGAAGGAAAAGCTCTTCTGTTGTAACAGGAAAGAAGGGAGAAAGAACCAGGTGGGATACAGAATGTGGGGTCAGAAGGTAGAGTGACTAATGGCTTCAGTATCCTGAGTTCAGCAGCAAGGCCCACTCCTAAGAGTTAGAGGGAAAGGAGAGACAGTTCAAGCAGTTGAGAAAGCAGAAAAATAAGGTGAGGAAATGAAAGAGGATTATCCAAATGCAATAGGCAGGGACTAAAGACAGGAGAGGCATAAGCTAAGACAACAGGGGTCTAAGGATTTTAGCTGAGACAAGCCAAAGGCATAGAGATCCCAATAAGGTAGAAGGTGATGTACAAGACTATTTGGAAAAATAAGCCGGAAGCTCAGGCAGTTACGGTCAGAGAAGCATGACGAACATGCAGACAGCCCCACCCGGAGAACAGCCACGGCAGGGGGGAGGCCTAAGTGAATCAAAGACCATGGATTCGCATTTCTCCCAGTAAAACCACAACATCTGAAATGGGATGACTTAAAGCATTAAGAGTCATAATGTATGTTTAAAGATAGTAAGCGGGGAAAATAGATGCTAGGAAAGACTACCTAAAATCCTATCACACAGAATCACTATGAATATTTTTTCCTTCTATACTTTGTATTTTTTCATCTTTCTTCTTGTTTTCACTTGGCCTGTCACTACTTACAAATTGTATAACCACTTAGGTCTCAGTTTCTTCACCTGGAAAATGAAGACGATTTCAGTATCTTGTAAGGTTACAGGAAAGGGGGCTGGGGGGAGGGAGATCAGATTCCTAGGATCATATCACTAGCTTTCACAAAAAGCCTCAGCCCTGGGGCTTATGTTCTTCATACTTCTTCAGCATCTGCCATCAGAGAACTCGCCAAAGCTCTCCCAGTGAACAGTTAAGAGAATCAAAAGAGAACTGATTCTTCACATCCCGACATGCTCCCCTCATTAGAAGAGTCAGTACAACTTCTTGTATTATCACTGTTTGAGGGGACCAAAAAAGAAGGTCACGGCAGTGTCATTCCTCTCAAGCCACTTAAAATTAAGTAGGGAAATGAGATAAAAGCATAAACTGCCATAACCTAAGGCTGACTCTGGGCATCACTAAAGAGGGACAGAAGCACAGAAGGACCTATTATCACATTAGGTTATAAATATAGGGAAAGCTTCCTTTTTGAAGGGCCTTGAAGGGTGGGGGGGGACACTGCAAAGAAGGGTGGTAGAGACGGCAATGAAGCCATAAGGAACATCATAAGCACAGGAAAAGGGGAAAAAAATAACTTGCCTGGAGGCACTAAGGAAGTAGTGGAAGAGAATACTGAGGAAGAGAGAAGGAAGTACTACAGAATACCTTAGGTGCCAAACTAAGGAGTTTTACTTGGTTATGCAGACAAAACCTCGAGATTTTCAGCAAGGGAAAGACACTATCAGAATTTTAAAATGTCAGCAGAAAATGATATTAGAGGTGGACAACCAACGGGGAGCCCAGTGCCACTCTCTGGAGGGGAGTCTTAGACTAGGGAGTAAGACTAGAAAGAGGGGACACTATAAAGGTGGAATGCAGAATGCACAGAAATTAGGAAAGAATCCAGTGCAGGTGCTGATACTAAAGGGACGAATAATAAGAGACCCAGGGGAACAGCTTCAAAGACGGCAAGTTTTAGGAGGAAAGCTAAAACACAGAGGTAGGTTTTTGCTGGTTTTTAACAAATTCCAAAAGTTTGGGGAACTGGGAGGTAAATGACAGGATGAGAATTACAAATGTGATTTTTCTCTCTGGAGTGTGGCTTGTGACAGGGTCAGCAAACGACAGCCCAGGGGCCAAATCTGGCCCACCATCTGTCTTTGTACTGCCCATAAGCTTGGAATAGTCTCAACATTTTTAAATAGTTGGGGGGGAAAACATAAAATGAACATATTGTGACACATGAAAATTATATGATATCCAAATTTCAGTATTCATAAATTTTACTGGAACATGCCACACTCACTCATTTATATATTATCTACATGGGCAGAATTGTGTGTTTACAACAGAGACGATTTGGACCTCAAGGCTCAAATATTTACCGTGTGGCCCTTTAAAGAAAACAGTTGCCAGGCCTGGGCTTAAGGCAGACTTGTGTGTTTACAACAGAGACCATTTGGACCTCAAGCCTCAAATATTTACCGTGTAGCCCTTTAAAGAAAATAGTCGCCAGGCCTGGGCTTAAGATGTCAAAATGATAGGCTCTTAGCTAGGGACAGAATGCTTCTGGAGAAGGAAAAAAAATGTATTTTTTTTGCTTCTAGAGAAGGAAAAAAAATGTATTTTTTTCCTCAAGCTAGAGCACTAAATTAAGCTGACTTTAAGCTGAATGGGGTAGGGAAGATTTCTTAAAGTCCAGCTAATCTTGGGGGTATCTATAACTGGAGGGTAGAAGTTATAATGAGGGGGAAGGGCAGTAAGAGAGGAAGGTAATCAGTGATAGACACCAGGAAATAATCAAGAGGGGACCCTGACTTCAATAATGCTTGTCTCAGATGCCTACCTAGCAAACACAAAGAATGGATAATAAATCAAGTGAACAAAAATATTATAGGGGCATAAGCAGAGATGGAAAGTGACGGGGAAAAAATACCATATTCAGATAGGAGCCTCTAGGATCAGAGAAGAGGCAGAGAAGAGCTTTGAATCAAAAGATGATACTCCTCAAAAAAATGGACAAAACATGAATAGGTAATTAATAGTAACATTAAGCAATAAAAGCATGATGCTTAACCTCTAATAAAAAGACATTAGTCAAATATAGTAACTTGCCTATCAAATTGGAAAATTATTTTCACAATAATGCCCATTTATTCAACAAAAATGTCCTGAACACATACTATGTGCTTCACAGTGGATATACAGGGGTAAATAAAATCAATATGGTCACTGCCTTCCTGGAACCTGGTAGTCTAATGTGGGGAGACAGACATGAAATAATCATAAATATAATATATAATTGCAATTATGATAAATATCATGAAAAGACTCACAGAGTGTCATGAAGAAATAATATGCCCAAAGGCATTAGGAAAGAAATGGGAGATCTAACAGACTGGGTTGGTGGGGAGGGAGAGGTCATCTACACTGTGGATTAGCAAAGGTACAGGAGAGACGCACAGTCCACACACACCTTATCTGAGTGCTAACTGAAACAACTTTTACGGAGGACAACCTAACTACATAAAAATACACATTCTTTTTGATGCAGTGATTGTCGCTCCAGAAATTTATCCTGTGAAGTAATGGAGATATATGCAAATTTGAGCAAGATTTTCATCACAAGGTTATTTTTAGTAACACTAGAAAGAGCCTTAATGCCTAACCAAGGTTACAAGTTAAATAAATTACGATGCATCCTACTGCCATTAAAAATTATGTTGCATCACAATACTTAATAATGTAAGGTGTTCACAACTTACAGTTATGACTAAAAAAAAAAAGCAGGTCACAAACCTGGGCCAGAATGATGCCAACTTTATTTAAAAGTAAAAAAAAAAAAAAAAGTCACTTAACATAATACTCTCTAGCTCCATCCATGTTGTTGCAAATGGCAAGATTTCATTCTTTTTTATGGTTACTATTACATTGTGTGTGTGTATATACACCACATCTTCTTATCCACTCATCAGTTGACGGATACTTGGGCTGTTTCCCCATCATCTGTCTATTGTAGAAAATGCTGCTATAAACACTGGGGTACAAGTACACCTTTCAAAATAAGTCAGTCAGAAAGACAAATATATGATTTTACTCATATGTGGAATTTAAGAAACAAAACAAATGAGCAAAGGGGGAAAAGAGACAGAGAGGGAGACAGAGAGAGAGGGGGGCAAACCGAGAAAGGGACTCTTCACTGTAGAGAACTGATGGCTCCCAGAGGGGAGGCGGTGGGGGTATGGGTTGAAACAGGCGATGGGGATGAAGGTGTGCACTTGTGACATGCACCGGGCGATGTATGAAGTGCTGAATCACTACACTATGCACCCAAAACCAATATAATACTGTATGTTAACTAACTGGAATTGAAATAAAAACTTTAAAAGAAAAAGTCAACTTTTCTGAGTGATAAAAGCATAGGTGGTTTTTTTTTTCATCTGTGCTTTCCTGTATTTCAAATCTTCTACAATCAATCTCTATTACTTTGTAATATAAAGTTTTAAAAAAAAACACACCTGGGTGATATTTGGAAACATGAGGGTGGGAGCATTTTGGAAAGAAGATGCGTGAAGCTAAAAGCAGAAATGAACAGAAGTGACATCTTAGAGGAATATACTACAGCCCTGTGGCCATATGGTGAAACATAAATACATTTCTGATAAAGATCACAAAACTGGCACAGACACATATAGAAGCAAAGTTTTCAACTGCTGAAATATTTACTAGGTACCTCATCTGACAAGAAGCCAGGCAGTATGGAATGTGACTTGCCGTACTGAAAATTTCATCCAAACTCACAAGAAAACATATAGGGAACAGCTACTTTTAGTTGGCCAGGGAACACAACTTCCAAAAATTGCATTAATGAACCCATCGAACAGCTCC